ATGAAGGAAAGGGAGTGTTACATTTCTGTTGGCATGTTGCCTAGAGAGACCACAGGCATTTCACAGTGCAATTCTATTGGTGCTCTGGAAGTGCAACGTAAGTTAACTTAGTGTTACTATCATCTTACATTGTCTGTCAGTGACTTCAGAGTAACTATCTTCTCACTTCTGCATGCAGTGGTCAAACCAATGGCATTATGGACACAGACAGCAGTTACACTTTTTTTGTGCAGTTGGCCCCCTGAAAGCGCTGTATAGCTGTGCTGTGATGTGCATGGCTGCAGAACAATTTTAAAGTGGCTGATCATGCAAAAAATTAACCCTCATCAAATGAGGTATTGATAAAGACACTCTACTTCAGAGCACTTTAGAGAACTTGTGTTCCCTAGGGTTAATTTTTATTGCAACGTCAAGGCTGGGCTGTCAGAAGGACATCCCTTCTCCAGCCTTCTTGAGTATTTCTGGGATGCAGCTTGTGTTGGCATCCTTGGAACCTGCAGAGATACCTGCTTTCAGCCCATATCCACCTGCTTTGGTCTTGTCAAGAGCCAGGGGTTTGTGGCTGCTTCTCACTATGAGCATGTCACACCTTTGGGACTGCCCAGGCTGCAAGAATGTCACCTAGTCCCAAAGGTGAATGTCTGTTGGATTGACAGGGCAGGGGAGGGGGTAATGCTCTAACTCATGGTGCTTTATGTAAAGCGCCATGAGTTAAAGCAGGGCCTGAACATCTGTCAGTACCCCATTTTATTTTTTTATTTTTTAAAGGAATTGGAGAGGTCAGGTAATCTTGGTCAGAAGGAGTCAAGCTGGAGTCCTTGGAGGTACTGAAGAAGTGTGCTCCATGTTGCTGCTCCTTTTATAACTCTTTTGTAGTCTATGAGGCTATTTAAAGATGTTTCATCTCTTCCACTTAACATTGCACTGAGGTGAGGTGTACAGTGTTTGAGTTATGGCTGTCTAATCAGTCTTGGCGCACTGTAGAAAGATGCTGATATTCTTGGCATCTCTCCATGCCACTGAAACCACTCAACACTTTTTGTGCACTGTATTTCTAGCCGAGTACACCATTCTGATTTCTAAAGCTGTTTGTCCTTAGGGCTAGTCAGCAGCAAGGTGGCAGTTAATCCCTGTGGAAAGTAAATACAATGCAGGCACAAAACAGAGAAAAATGTAGACGGAAGCATAAATGATCTCATGGCCTACTAGCTAGTACTTTCTTTTGTCAGTCTGGAAATTGGCATTTTGTCCCCAGAGGAGAAGAAGCATCTTGCATCTGATGCCTCCAGAAAGCCAAGAAGGGGTCCAGAGATTCTGAGATATTTTGCTGGTGTTCTTGGCTGTGATAGAGGGTTATAAAGACTGTTTGGAAGGTGCAGTGGGGATTATCCTTTGGGTTCCAACATAAAATCGAAGTAGCAATTACATGATGGCCAAGACCCCACAGGCTCCTGTAAACCCATTGCATGTAGCTCATGATTTTTGTAGTTAAATGTAAATAGCACTCACAGCAGCCATCACAAAGACCACAAACCTTCTTCCCTTCCAAATGAAATAGAAAACTTACCACTTCCACCTTGCTTTCCCACAATAACAAAAATAAAACAAAATCCTTTCTTGGGTTGCTGAATCTTAAGAATATGCGCTTCTGGAAGTTATACAGCATGGGAGTGAGTGTAGTCTTAATGCTCAAATTTGGAGACTCTAAAATATAAGGATTTTAATCCTTTATTTTCCCTTCCCCTTTTCCAAAATGTGCTTTGTTGAATTTTTGTTCTAAAATTAGAGGCAATGATGTTTTAAAATAGTCAGACCCTATGCTGTTTGCTAGTGAAAGGCAATTTCTTTCTTCTACTGGTATTTGCTTTCCAGTTAATTTTTAAATTATTAGCCAGAGATTTCAGAAACCTCCTGTAGAATTTTCTGGCTGTGCCAAGAGCTTGTGCAAGGTGATAGCTCTTGCAAAAATAAAATTGCCCATATGACTGGTTTGGGTAAAGGCTGGAAAACTGATTGAATAGCACTACTTAACAACTGAACAGTTCTAGGGTTGTGCTTCAAAATCACATTGTACCACAGAATTAGGCTATTTAAACCCAAGTTGGTTAAACTGGTTGGGAGAGGTTGGAAGGTTGCCTGACTATAGTAAAAGAATGAATAAGGTTTTTCTTTTATGGATTATTTACATATTTACCATGTCTAGGCCAGGCAGGAATCCATGACACTGTAAGGCAAGGCTAGCATATATTAAACTTGCCTGTGTTTTGTTTTGGTATGGTACCTAAGAAAAATATCTTCTGTTGTAACATTTTTCTCAAAAAAAAATACCAGTAAAGATTTTAAGAGTGTTTTAACCTGAGGGGTTTTTTTTCTTTCATTTCCATCCCCATGAAGGTTAAAATCAAAGGAGGCACTGCTTTTATTGAATAGGATCTTCAAAGCTTTACGGCAGGAATAACGGTCTTCTAACTAGGTCTGCTGGTTGGAAAGAGTCAAATTGATTTAGTTAAATGGAAGAGTTATGTTTCACAGACTTACATACATCTTACTAGGCGTGCCCTTTTTACAGTGATGTAGAATAATGTTGTTTAATTGGTGAGAAATCATAAGTATTGTCTTGTGGTGTCCACCATTTTGCCTGACACATTGGGTATTGAGCTAAGGATGTGCAGAACAAAATCATCAGTTGAGCTTCAGGTAAAGCTCCGTAGCTTGCCAGCCTGTGTGCATTGTCACAGATGGGGGTCTTGTTAACACCATCCTCAGTCAGGCTTCTCCTAGGAAATAAGTTACAATAAACAAGCCACCTCCAGAAAGTTCAGATATGTACAACGTGTGCTGAAAGAGAAAATGTTCATGTGTTTTAGGTGAGTTCCGGGAACTCTTTCAAGTCCTAGTAACAAATGTTGACGTGTTACATTTGCATCCTATTTCATTTTGACCCATTGGATGGACTTGCTATTGAGGTTGTGCCTGGAAATATGGTCAAGTTGATTTTGAGAATATAATTCCTCCCTACATCCTGCTCAGATACTTTCTCATCAATTTCTCATCTCCCCCATTCCTACAAGCTTTTTTAAGAGGGTCATGATTGTAAGTTAGGTTCCTTATTCCCCTTCTCATTTGAGAACTGTGAAGCTAAATTCACCCTGATTGTAAGAAGGGCATAGTTCCAATGGATCTGCACTCATAAACCAAAGCTGAGTGGTAGCCTCTCTGTTATCTTATTGTTATGGCTGGTTACAGAAATATTTTCTTGCCACTTGCAATATAAACCAATACCTCTTTAAGCTAGTAATATCCCCCTTTATTTATTTTTTTAGACCTCATGAATGTCAATAAGTGAATGACATTCATTCATTGCCTGTGCAGTTGAAATGATTGGCATTCTGATTTCAGTCTGCCTCCTGCCTTATGGGATTTCTATCTAGAGCTATTATTTCAGGCTCCCCAGTGCGTGTAGGCTTTGTAGATTTCAGCTATTAAAGTATTTCAGGCTTTAATTCTTCTCACTTGTGAAAACATGACTTGCATTATTGAGTGCAGACGCTGTCAAACGCCTGCAATACAACACTTAGCCTGTTAAATACAGAAAAAACAGTCCTCTAATGTGGATTTTCTTTTCCCCTGCATTTCTTTTAAATGCCAGGACACATTTTAGTCTCATCAACCAACGAAGGACATGTCAAAGTAGCGGTGAAAACTTATTGCCCAAATAATTTCTTAAGAATAGTATAGAATCCTAATGATACCTTCCTTATATAACACAGTACTGCTCTATGCTTGTCATCTGCATGTAGGCTTAATTGTGATTTAGATGTTTCCCTCAGCATATTTAAAATGATAACAGTGGAAGACAGTTGAGGATCGAACATAATTAGAGCTTGGTAAGTAGGATGAACAAAAATCTTGGAAAAACAGAATATTTCTAGTTTCAAAGCCTGTGTTTGGATGTCACTCTGCCTAAATCTGCCCTACTTTCCCACACATGGATTCAAATTTACAAAATAATAGGAAGGAAGAGGAAGGGGTTGGTGGCATGTGGATTGGCTTCCTCTATATGGAGAGAGGTAGTTAGCCGCTTAGATTGAAGTGAGGCAGAAGGCAGGGTAGATTTGCATCGGATATAGTAAACCTTCTGCTTAAGAAAGTGTATGCTATATGTATCTGATTTAGTTAGTCTATAAAGATGCAAATCTACCATTTTCTGCCTTTCTTTATAAACTCATATATACATTCTTACCTCCTCAAACCCCAAACCATCCATTTCTCCCACTTGTGAGTGATATCTCATTTTGTTTTTGTCACCTCATGGTAATTCATTATAAAATGAATGCAGCTAAATGATGGTCATCACAAGCCAGAGCTATGTGATTCTGAAATCTTTATGATTTAAAACTTTCCTTTGATGTTGTTTTTTCACTTATGGTATAAATAATTTAGGTACAGTCTTTGCAGCTTTGACACTGTATCAGTGATGACAAAGCATCATTGAAGAAATGGAGTCCTGGCTTTCTGAAGCAGCATTTATATAAGAGGCCTTAAGTTTCAGGGCATAGGATATCTTCAAGTTAAACAGCTCTACCGATCTTTCTCTTGAGTAAAAGAATGTAGATTCACTTTCCTTCCTTTCACGGATGTCCGTATTGATTACTTTGGATTGTAGGTTGATGAAACTGGTTAGAATGAGTTAAAATAGATGCAGCTGCTGTTGTCTGACCTAATACTTTCCTAACTGCTTATTTTTGGGGGGGAGGGAAATTGTCTTAAATGTGTTATGCTTTGAATGGAAATTTTAGCTTGTTCCAAGAATTTATGAGTTAACTGAAGAAAAATGCCTTCACTGCGTGTGTTGTTTTCAGTCTCTGATTCATTGTTGTCATGTTGCAAGATCATTAGAAAAGTTCTCTTGTTGAGAAAGCACTGGTAACATGAACCTTATTGTTCCCCCCGCCCTTCATGCAGCTAATTACTTGTTACTCTGCTTTTTTGGTTTCCAGGGTCTTGGTCGGTGCCCCAAAGGCAGATTCTAAATACAGCACCTCTGTTAAGTCTCCAGGAGCAGTGTTTAAATGTCGAGTCCACACCAATCCTGACAGGAGGTGCACAGAGCTGGATATGGGTCGTGGTAAGTACTTACACCACTTTTTTATTTTCCAGTGATTTGAAATCCTCAGGAAAATCTTAGGGATTGATTCAAGCCCTTGGACCACCAAAATCATTGAACAGATTCCCATCAAGCTCTGTTTAAGTCAGAGTGATAATACACAAAGCTTTTTGCTCATGGTCTTTATACTTTCAACAAACTAGATTTTGCTGATGGTTTTTATATATTGGGAGCTTGGTGCTATTAAAGTCAGTAGCAGATCTTCCATTTATTTCAGTGTTACAGAATCCTGGCCTACTTGATAAATGGGGGGGAAATGTGCTCCCTTTAGGGAGTATTTGGTTGCTCTGTGGGCTCTCTCTGGTCATCCATAGGCCTGAAGCCTGAAGAAAAGGTAGCAGCTTTGCTTAGACTCATTTAAGAAAACCTTATTTTTTGGGATAAGCCTTTATTAAATGAATGTGAGTGAAGCTGTTGTCTCTTCTTTACTGCTTTATTTGGGTTTTTCTGAGGTGCAAATGGTTAATGGGACTGAGTCCCCATTCTGCAAGGTGCTGGCCAAGAGTGGTCCCTGTTCCCAGGAGCTTGCATGCTAAAGTAGGCTTGCTAATTGCTTGAGTAAAATTATGCACGTGCTGAAGTGTTCTTTGGCTGGAGCACTTTGATTGTGAGCTTTTCAGGAGAGGGACTGTCTGGTGCTATCCATTTCTATAGCATCCATCGTGATTAATATGGCTGAAAATTAATAACTAGAGTGAAAGATAGAAAAGATCTGTTTAATTGTTTAGGCTATTTCCTTATCAGGGTGTGGTATAGATGAAAAAAAATCTAAAAGCATCCTTTCCCGTACTATTTTTCCCCCCTTTCTTTCTAAGGCAATACTCGGGGCATGTCCTGTGGAAAGACCTGTAAGGAGGATAGGGACGATGAATGGATGGGAGTAAGCCTGGCCAGACAACCCACGGCTAGTGGGAGTGTGCTGGTAAGTTCCTCTTTCCCTTTATCTCATTAGTGCAATCTCAGTCGTATGACTCTAATGCCAAACACGTCAAGATTAATGTCTTTACTAGTGACTGACAGAGACCAGCTTTCTGGGCAGCTAACTTGATAGTCCCTTCCTTCAAACGGAAGGGAAAAGGAGCCCCAGCTAAGAAAGCTTATTTATAGAAAGAAGACTTCAAAGCAGTCACACCTGACTTGTCACCTAAGGGCTTCCTCCAAATTTCCGAGCGCTAAACCTTTGAACAGGATGAATGGAACTTTGTTTTCCTCTAAATGTGTCTGATAGTTTATTTGCTTTGCAGGTTGTGCACAAGGGGAGGTAAGTTTAATACATACACACTGTTGTAGCATGTGTTGCATGTCAAAACTTGTCAGAAAGGCATCACATTAAGGGTTACAGTTACATGCTTTTGTAAGTGTGCTGGTATTGTCTGTTGATGAAGTGGCAGAGATAGCAATCAATATTACTTGAAAGGGCAGTTTGTTAGTTTTTTTGACACTCTTCATAAGCAAATATTCAAGTCAGTGTGAGCTGATGTGAATGTCTGCTCAGAGGCAAAATTTGTCCCAGTTTGTATCTTCATGAAATTGTGTTCTCAATGCTCAAAACTTCTGAAACACACAAGTGCTCAAATGAATCACAAATATAGCTGGCCAAATACAGTAGTTTTTTTTTCCCTGTGAATATTGTTTACCTTTTAAAATGACTTTGTTGCCTGGGTTTTTCAGCAGTGTTAGTGGTTCTTGCTTTCTATGGTATTTTAGCATACAAGTACAGTAGATGCGTAGGAATGTTCACTGAAACAGCAAATGTTAAGAAAATATTGCATATTATTTCTGAAAAGTGAATTTCAATTTCATACTTGACTATCCTGAGCAGTGTTCAGATTCTAAGCTACTCCATTTAGGTATCAGAAATCTACTATGTGTACTATGTTTCAAATGACAGTGCACTATTAGTTTATGTGAATAATTACTGTTCATAAATTTCCTACAGAACAACTTGCTGATTTATCAGTTTCTTAAAGGATAGATAGTACAGAGCCCCTGGGACTAGGGACAGAAATTACACATAAACCAGTATAAATGATCAGAACACAACAGAAGTTCAGTGCACACAAATCACTTTCAAAATGGCTGGAACCAGTTTAAGATAAACCTGGATGAATGTAAGGGTTTTTTAACCCTAAAGCTTCCTTAAAAATTGTTTTCCGACTATTTAAGTTGGTCTAATAAAAGATATCAGAATCACCCAAAGAATCATATGAGACTTAACTGATTTAGGTTAAATCAGTTTATTGAACTTCTGTCCCAAAATCCCACCAGATTCAAGCTAACACCCAGCATCCGAGGATGCTTTGCACCTCCCTCAGAAATACCTCCCCACCACCCCGACCCCAACTCAGGCTTCTGGCCTGGGCCACTGCAGGCATGTGACTACATTTCCAGAATCAAAAGTGAATGTCTGTTTGCTTGCTTATCCATTCAATCTATGCAGCTTAGACTAACCTAAGAAGATTGAATCGATTCAGCCTTGGGCTTTTTAACTGTCTGTACTTAGCCTGGGTATAAAACAACCTGTAAAGTTGAAAAGCAGTTTCATAAAGCCCATAGTATAAACTTGCAGTTATTAAATAGGTTTTTCATACTAGAACATCAATTCCTGAGGTTCATGTTTCCAAGGCTAGGAACAGATGTTGTGTTTATCTTGGAATAGAAAAGTTTCAGGATTGGCATTACACACATTGCTCTTCCAATCAGGGTTTAGTTAGTGACTGAATACACTGGACTTCAAAAGCGATGTGGCCAGCCTGGAGAGGGTTCAGAGGAGGGCCACCTGTTTGGTGAGAGGGCAGCAGGACAAGCCCTATAAGGAGACATTGAGGGACCTGAACTTGTTCAGCCTCAGCAAGAGGAGGCTGAGGGGGGACCTGGTGGCTGCCTACAAACTCATCAGGGGAGATCAACAGCAAATAAGTAGAGCCCTTTTCTCCCCAGCACCACCTGGGGTGACAAGGAATAATGGTAATAAGCTGATGGAGAATAGATTTAGGTTAGAGATCAGAAGGCAATATTTTACAGTTAGGGTGTCCAAAATCTGGAACCAACTTCCCAGGGAAGTGGTCCTCGCCCCTACCTTGGGCAAATTCAAGAGGAGGTTGGATGATCACCTGTCTGGGGTCTTGTGAACCCAGCATTCATTCCTCCCTGTGGCAGGGGGCCTGGCTAGATGTTCCGTTCAGGTCCCTCCTGACCCTAGCTACTGTGAAACTGCTGCTTTTCTGTCATTGATTCAGTGATGCAATCCTGGGACAACTGTTTAGACACACTCTACAATGTCCTGGCACAAACTGTTAGTAGTTCTTATTTTATGAATCTTTTTTAAGGTTTGTCCTGGGAGAAAATGGTTTCTTCCAGGATAAATTTAACATCTGTTTGTAGCCCAAGTGGACTTTCCTATCCAGGTTGGTACACAGTTGATCCTGCACATGAACTTGAGCCAGCCTAGGAATAGTCTGCCATTTACAAAAAGGACACCGTACAAAATATAGAATCTCTTTGATCTTCTTAGTAATTGACTGAATCAGAAGAATGCCTGTTTTCATTTGAGAAGCCAAGAGAGCAGTTCAGACTAGGGTATCCATAGCGTTACGGTCATATAGCCAGATGTAGACATGTTGCCAGACAATAGTTATTTCTAAGGTGGATGTGTATGCATGAATGACGTGTGCCCCTGGTGGCTGGGGGGGCACGGTGGTGGTGGGAGCACGGTGATGGTAAGCAGGAGTTCCCGCAGATGCCACTGGTGCTGTCGGCAGTGGGGTGGGGGAGGTGGCAAGCACTGACCAGGGGTCAGTGATGACCTGCAGATGCCACCAGCAACGGCCAGTGGGGATCGCTGACCACCTGCAGATGGTGGCGGGAGAAGGGGAGGGTGGCAAGCAGCAACCGCCTGCTTGTAGGGGGTGCACCACCACTCTCAGGGGGTGCATGTGCACCTGCGTGCACCCCCTACACATTGCCTGTGTGCGTGTATGTGTATGTTCTAGTTCAAAGGATGATAGATGCTGTCAGTCTCTGTAGTTATTCTCAAGTTCAGGTAGATAACACCAAAACCATGTCAGCAACAGAAAAGAGGGCAGATGGAATGGGTAAGGAATCAGCATGAGTGTGGTTCCTTTAAGCTGTTAATTGCCTGGGTAGGTACCAAGGTAGGGTGCTTGTAGGAGGAAGGTTTGGGAGGGAATTTTCATAGACAGGCTTAGCATCTGGGAAGACTTCTAGAAATCTTGAGTAGAAAGGATTTGTGTGGCTTCCACAATGGAATGAGGTTATTGCAGGCATAGTCCCTAGTTAGAAGAGGGGCCAGGTTATTTGGCAGAGTGGATGAGTCTGAGCTCTGTTACATGGTAGCTTACTGTCTTTGAACATATTTTCAGTCTTGGATGAGGGATGTTTAGTGTTCCATGTGCGAGTATCTGTTTTCCTGGATCTCTTTTAGCATGGGTGTGTTTTCCCATTGCTGCTACTCTTCCATGACACATTTAGCATATCCTGAAGCAGTGGAAGCACTGATGAATTCACAAGGGAGATTTCCTGCAGGGGTCTCTTCTCTTGTCTCCCTCTCTAAGGCCCTAGTCCAGCATAGCTCAAGTCTTTCTCTAATTGCATGTAGTGAAGGGCACTTCAGAAGTACATGAAAAAGTTTATTGTATTAATTTAACTTAAATCTGCTTTGCTAACGCACAAGAATGCCTGTGCAAGCACTGTATTATCAGTTTAAAAGGGGCTAATTTTGGTTGAGTTTAATCCAGTAGGGAGCTGATTAAAGACTGGCTTCTGTCTCTATAGTTTACACCAGAAATGTGAGTTATGCACAAACTTTCACTGATGTAACTAAGTAGTTTTAAACACCACTAGTTAAATGAGTTTGTGTTAGTGCATAGAGAGGTCATAAGACAGAGATGCTCGTAACTTCTGTGATTGTCAGCTTCAAGAGTAGTGCATGTCCTGCATCTTAATAATTTGGAATAAACCCTCTTCCTGCCCCCCTTTGCCTCAGGGGGCCATGCTGGCAGGCTCCTGGCCACACACTTACCCCTGATGCTGCAGCAGTGGTGGGGAGGACCCTGACAGGGACAGCAGCCCGTGTCACGGTGTCCTGGGAAGAGGCTTGCAATCCCCAGTGTGTGGGCCTGCACTGTGGGTGGGAGTGGGGCAGGCACAGCTGCCACAGCTTGCGTGTGGGGCAAGCAGTGGTAGTGGGGCTCAAAGGGGTGGTTATAGCCCCCCAAACTGCCCCTGATGCTGCCACCACCACTGCTCACCCAGCACAGGTTGTGGTAGCTTTGCCTGCCCCTCTCCTGTCTGTACCACAGCGTCTCAACTGGAAAGAGGCTTGTGCTCTCCAGGACACCATGACAGGGTTGCTGCCCCTGTCAGGGTCCTTTCCCTCTCACTGCTGCAGGGGCAGGGGCAGGTGTGTGTCCAGACACTGGCTGGCATGGCCCCCTGAGGTGAAGTGATCAGGGAGAGGGTTTATTTTGCCCTCTATCCCCTCTACCCCCAGGGGACCCCAGCCAGGGTCTGCCTAGCTGGGGGTGAGCAATGGATGCAGCGGCTGGGGCTGACAGACCCTGGATGCAGTCCCCCCGTGGGAGAGGGGATGGAGTGGGGAATAAACCTCCTCCCTGCCCCCTTTGCCATAGGGGGCCATGCTGGCTGGCATCTGGCTATGCCCCCAGCCCTGGAGTGGTGAGGGGAAGGGACTCTGACAGGGGCTGCTCTGCCTTGGCCCCACCCTGCTCCCTCCTCCCCCAGGCAAGAGTGGGGAGAGGGAAGGGAGAGATAAATAAACCCCCTCCCTGCCCCCTTTGCCTCAGGGGGCCATGCTAGGCCAGTGCCTGGCCACATGCCTACCCCTGAAGTGGTGAGGTGGGAGGGACCCTGACCCTGGCTGGGGTTCCAGGGGGAAGGGAG